TCTCGACCTCAGGTGATTCACCTGCCTCAGACTTCCAAAGTGCTAGGATAGCTGGCATGAGCCACTGTGCCTGGCCTACTCCTATTATTATTACATTGTAATATATAATAAAATACTTACACAACTCACCATAACGTAGAATTAGTGGGAGCCCTGAGCTTGTTTTCCTGAAACTAGATGGTCCCTTCTGGGGGTGATGGGAGACAGTGACAGATCAACAGGCATTGGATTCTCATAAGAAGCTCACTGTCCAGCTCTCTCAAATGTACTATTTACAGTAGGGTTTGCGCTCCTATGAGACTCTAACAATGCCACCGATCTGACAGGAAGGTGGAGCTCAGGTGGTGATGCCAGCAATAAGGAGTGGCTGTGAACACAGATGAAACCTCCCTCGCCCACCCGCTGCTCACCTGCTGTGCTGTCTGCCCAGCTTCTAACAAGGAAGCCAGGCGCGGTGGCTCACACCTGTAATCCCAGCACTTTGGGAGACTGAGGCAGGTGGATTACCTGAGGTCGAGAGTTCGAGACCAACCTGACCAATGTAGAGACACCCTGTCTCTACTAGAAATACAAAATTTGTATTTCTAGTAGAGAGAAAGGAGCCAGGCATGGTGGCTCATACCTGTAATCCCAGCTACTTGAGAGTCTGAGGCAGGAAAGTCACTTGAATCTGGGAGACAGAGGTTGCAGAGAGCCAAGATTACACCATCGCATTCCAGCCTGGGCAACAAAAGCAAAACTTCGTGTCAAAACAACAACAACAACAAAAAGAAGCCAGGGTGCAATGGCTCACACTTGTAATCCCAGCACTTTGGGAGAATAAGGAGGGTGAATCACCTGAAGTAAGGAGTTTGGGACCAGCCTGGCCAACGTGGTGAAACCTGTCTCTACTAAAAATACAAAAATTAGCCAGGTGTGGTGGTACATGCCTGTAATCCCAGCTACTCAGGAGGCTGAGGCAAGAGAATTGCTTGAACCTCGGAGGTGGAGGTGACATTTACCTGAGATCACACTGCTGCACAGAGTGAGACTCTGTCTCAAAAAAAAAGGAAAAAAAAAAAAAAGGCTACAGACTGGTACTGATCCATGGCCAGGAGGGTTGGGGACCCCAGCTGTAGACAATATGAAATGATCAAATCAGGGTAACAGACAGTCATCACCTCAAATATTTATCAAATCCTTCCCTTCTGGCTATCTTGAAATAGTCAAATAAATTCTCATTCACTGTAGTTTCCCTTGTGCGCTATGGATTACTGTAACTTATTTCTTCTATCTAGGCCTTCTGGTCTTTCATTCTGTTTTTTAAGATTATTTTCATTTATTTCTGAGACAGTCTCTCTCTTTCTGCCAGGCTACAGTGCAATGATATAATCTTGACTCACTGCAACCTCCACCTCCTGGGTGCAGGCAATTTTCCTGCCTCAGCCTCCTGAGTAGCTGGGAGTACAAGCGTGCATCACCATTCCTAGCTACCTTTTTTTTTTTTCGTAGTGATGGGGTTTCACCATGTTGTCCAGGCAGGTCTCAAACTCCTGACCTCAGGCAATCCACCCACCTCAGCCTCCCAAAGTGCTAGGATTACAGGCATGAGCCACAGTACCCAGCCACTTATTCATTCTTACATTCATTCATTCTATGAATAACTACTGCCTGGTTATTATATACCTGGCAGAGTTCCGGGCTCTGGGGAAACAGCAATGAGCAAAACAAAGTTGCTGCTGTCTTAATGGATCCATCGTTCTAATGAGGAGGAAAGAGACAGGCAATCCATGAAGAAACCATAAACACAAACAGCACATCAGGTGAGAGCGCTGTGAAGAATAAATACTAAAGGTACGGCCAGGTGCAGTGGCTCACACCTGTAATCTCAGCACATTGGGAGGCTGAGGTGGATGGATCCCTTGAAGTTAGGAATTCAAGACCAGCCTGGCCAACATGGTGAAATGCCATCTCTACTAATAGTACAAAAAAAAAAAAAAAAAAAGACCCAGGTGTGGTGGCACCTGCCTGTAATCTTAGCAACTCAGGAGGGTGAGGTGGGAGGATTGCTTGAACTTGGGAAATGGAGGTTGCAGTGAGCCGACATTTCATCACTGCACTCCAGCCTGGGGAACAGAGCAAGACTCTGTCGTCAAAAATAAAAAAGTGAAGAGAAATCAGGTGCAGATTAGAGTGCATTTGCATGAGCAAGGGTGCTCTTGTGGTGGAGAAGGTGATAGACATGAGGGCTGAGCCTGGGGACTCCTGGGGAGAGCAGCATGGGAGGGCCCTAGGTATTGGTTCCATTTGTGGTCCTTTTGTTTAGATTTGATTTGTTTTTGACACAAATGCTCCATCGCCCAGGCTGAAGTGAAGTGGCACAATCTCGGCTCACTGCAATCTCCACTAACCGGGTTCAAGCCACCTCAGTCTCCCAAAGAGATGGGATGGCAGGTGTGAGTCACGTGCCCGGCCTATGCATCAACATGTTTAAATTCTTCTGAAAACTATGCTTTAGAAAGAGTGTTCTGAAAGACATAGGAAATAAATGACAGAATGGCAGGGCAAGGATCGCATCAGTGACAGGGTGGCTGTGGAGATTTGCTGGCCAGCAGCAGGAAAGCCACTCAGACCCTGGATTCTACCTCTGCAGCCTGTCTGCACCTGAACCCTCCTCCCCACATCAGTGGAAGCCTGGAACTCTCAGAAAAGCAGACCTCACCGGCCACTGCCACTTTCACCAGAATGATGTGATTCATTCATTCACACAGAAGACAGCAGGAACCCTGAGAAAACAGGATCCAGAATGTGTGGGTTTTGATGGACAGTGTGGTAGAATCTGGGAGGCTCTCCACCTGCCTCACCTCCTGAGCCCCACACTCCTTCCCCAGTCCTGCTCGGCATAGAGATTAGTGACATTACCAGAAAGGTAGATGCTTGGAAGGACACCAGCAACACGGAGAAGAGGAGGCCAGAGGTCCACAAGGCACCCAGCTCCTGGCCTCGGATGACCAGGACTGTCCAGAAAGGCTCCCTCACAGCCATGAAACTTGATGATCCTCGAGTTCCTGAGGATGGAGCTGGAGGGCTGGGCCCACAAGTCCTTCTGCCTCATTTGCTCTCCTGGGGTTGGAGGGAAAAGAGCGATGAACACACGGCTGGTCCAGAATTTTCCCCTGCACCCTGACAGTAACCCTGCAGTGAATCCCACTGATCCCACCAACTGCATACCAAAGCTGTCTTCCTCTCTGCATCTCTGACCCTCAGTCCTGATCCATCTACCATCATCCCGTGCCTGAACTCCTGCAGGAACTGACCTGGGACCACTGTCCTCGGGAGGCAGCTTCTGATGCGAACAGAGGCTGCCCCTGAGCCCACCTGGGTATGGTGCCATCAGGAAGGCTACCTGGAGGTGGTGTAATGCCTGAGCTACATCTTTCTTTCTTTCTTTCAAATTGTTGGTAAAGTCAGGGGGTCTCACTATGTTTCCCATGTTGGCCTGAAGCTCTTGGGCTGAAGTGATCCTCTGGCCCTGGCCTCCTAATGTGCTGGGATTACAGACTGAGCTACACCTTAAATGACCAGGAGGTAGGTGCTGGGCAGGCAGAGGATGAGGAGATGGGGCCAGGAAGAGGGAGGGAAGGGTTTGAGAAAGGGGGCAGAGAAAACCCAGGCACAGGGAGCAGCATGACTCAGGACACTCCGTGTGGCCAGAGGAGTGCGTGGGCAGGGTCACTCGGCACTTTAGGGTCAGGCAGGAGTCCGGCATCTCCCGTGCTTCACCAGGTAAGGGGGGCATTATCAGAAGGCAGCTGCCAGGAGAAGGTTTTTTTTTTGTTTTTTTGAGGAGTCTTGCTCTGTTACCAGGCTGGAGTGCAGTGGTGCGATCTCAACTCACTGTAACCTCTGCCTCCCGTGTTCAAATGATTCTCCTGCCTGAGATTCTAGAGTACCTAGGATTATAGTTGCCTGCCACCATGCTCAGCTAATCTTTGTGTTTTTAATAGAGAGATCATTTTGCCATTTTGGCCAGGCTGGTTTTGAACATCTTACCTCAGGAGATTCGCCTGCCTCGATCTCCCAAAGTGCTGGGATTATAGGTGTGAGCCACCATGCCCGGAGGCAGCCATGCCGGAGGCTGGAGAAACAGTCCAAGTGACAGATGGACATTGGGACAGCTGGGCCTAGAGAGGAAATAAGTTCCTTTCCTCCATCCCCCTTCCCTCCCTCTCCCCCACCTTTCTTTCTTTTCTTCCCTACTTCTTTCTTCTGCTTTCCTGCCTTTCTTTCTGCCCTCTTTTTTCCCCCTCTCCTTCATTCTTCCTTCCTTCCTCATTCCTTCTCTTCTTCCTCTTTCAACTCTTTCCTTCCCTCCATCTGTCCTCCCCTTTCCTATCTTTCCTTCCCTCCATTTCACCCCTCCCCTCCTTCCTTTCTTCCCATCCCTCCCTTCTTCCCTCCTCCCTCCCTTCTTCAGTAGTTCTCGAACACTGGTCCAGCAACTTCTGCATGCCGAGCACTAACTAGATACTGAGTCTGCCACAGGGAGTGGCCCGTGCTGCTGTGGAGCTTGCAGTCTAAGGAGAGCAATGCCATCAGCCCCTGCCAGGAGCTTTCTGCAGGGCCCTTTAGGAAGTGGGAAGTGTTGGGGAAAAGCAAAAACAAACCCAGAATAGGCCAAGGAAGGGAGCTGCTTGGAGGAGAGAGATGGGTGGGCCATGTCCTTGCTGGACGATGGTGAGGGAGGTGGCCCTGACTGCAGGGGGTGCTGGAGGGGTCAAGGTCTTCTGGAGTGAGGGTGGTCCAGGTGGAGGGAACAGCTAAAGCAGATGCCTGGATAGATGTGTGAACATCAGGCAGGTGTGAGGATGGGGAAGGGGGTAGGTGGGAAAGGGAGGGAGATGGATGGAAGGTGAGGCTGGAGGCAATGAGGCAGTTCAGGGCAGGCCAGGTGGGCCACAGTGGGGCCTTTGGCTCAGACTGAGGAAAACAGGAGCATTGTGGGTCTGAGCAGAGGAGGGTACAATGGATTCAGCTCACACAGGTCTCCTGTGGCTGGAAGTAGAGAAAGGCTGGGGCAGAAGTAAGGAGTGAGCCAGGGCCTTGCTGCTGGATGCATTTTCAAGATGACTCCAAGCAAATCTGCTGACTGATGGGGTGCAGGAGAAAAAGGCATTAATCTGACCCAGGGCCTGGGATCTGAACACTGGAGGGTTGAGCCACCATCCAATGCGATGGGGAAGGAGCGGGGCAGGTCTGCACAATGGGAAACTCACAGAGACAAGAACAAAGCCAGACCCGCTGGCTCCCACTCAGCTCTGCCCTCTTCATCGCCCACACCAGAGCCTGTGTCTTTCTCCCCACTTCCTGCGTGGTCCGTCTTTTTCCCAAAAGCCAAACCTGACAGTGAATCCTCTTCTTGGTGATGAAGAAACTCAGAGGCAGGCGGCTCAGGAAGAGAGCGATGGTGGAGAGATCCAGGAGCTGGGGACAGAGGGGACAGAACATGAGGAGATCCCGAGGAGCCCAGCTGTTAGAGGCCTGTGAACCACAGCAGCTCCATCTTGAATAGGAGCTGGGTAAAAGGAGGCTGAGACCTACTGGGCTGCATTTCCAGGCGGTGAAGGCATTCTGAGTCACAGGATGAGACAGCAGGGCAGCACAGAATACAGGTCACAAAGACCTTGCCAGTAAAACAGGCTGCAGTAAAGAAGCCAGCCCAAAACCCACCAAAACCAAGATGGCTACCAGAGTGACCTCTGCTCATCCTCACTGCTACATTGTCACCAGCACCATGATGGTTTACAAATGCCACGGCAACATCAGAAAATTTTCCTATATGATCTGAAAAAGGGGGAGTCATGAATAATCTACCCCTCGTTCAGCATGTCATGAAGAAATGGCCCTAAAGATGGGCACCAGTGTCTTCTGGGCTGCTCTATGGAGTAGCCATTCTATCTTTTCTTTCCTAAAAAACTTTTTTTTTAGGAAATAATAAACTTGCTCTGTGGCTCACACCTGTAATCCCAGCACTTTGGGAGGCTGAGGCAGGTGGATCACCTGAGGTCAAGAGTTTGAGATCAGCCTGGCCAACATGGTGAAACCCCGTCTCTACTAGAAGTATAAAAATTAGCCAGGTGTGATGACATGCACTTGTAATTTCAGCTACTCAGGAGGCTGAAGCAGGAAAATCACTTGAACCCGGGAGGCGTAGGTCGTACTGAGCCAAGATCACACCACTACCCTCTATCTAGCCTAGGCAACAGAGTGAGACTTCATCTCAAAACAAAATAAAATAGCAAAACAAGCAAACAAACAAATTTTCATTTTACCCTCATGAGGGTTGTCAGACTAGCAAATCATCATACAGATACCCAGTTACCTTTGAAGACAGAGTGAGGTTTTAGTTTAAGTCTCGTGCATTATTTGAGACATACACTGAGAGTACAAAACTCTCACTTCACTGGATGTCCTGTTTTCTCTGGCAACCCTGCTCCCTACCAACGTGGTGCTTTTAAGATACTTATCTCCCCCCTCTCAGCTTTGGTTCCTATATTTGGAAAATGTGGAAGTGGGAGGTAGAATAAATAATTTTTTAAGTTGCTCTGACTTTCTGAGAGTCATTCACAGGTTACTTGAACCCATTCTCTCACCAAGTCCCACCCCAACTCCAGTCTGCATGCCTCAGTTTCCCCTCTCAGTCCTTAGGAACACTATTTTTTTTTTTTTTTTGAGATGGAGTCTCGCTCTGTTACCCAGGCTGGAGTGCAGAGTCGCAATCTTGGCTCACTGCAACCTCTGCTTCCCAACCAATTCTGCTGTCTCAGCCTCCCGAGTAGCTAGGATGACACAGATGTGCATCACTATGCCTGGCTAATTTTTGTATTTTTAGTACAGACAGGGTTTCACCATGTTGCCAGGCTGGTCTCGAACTCCTGGCCTCAAGTGAACTCACTTCAGCCTCCCTAAGTGCTGGGATTACAGGTTTGACTCACTCTACCCAGCTCAAAGCAAGTACAACAATATTTTCTAAGGTTGGATCCGTTTGTTTCATTTATGCAGCAATGGCGTCACCTGGTGGCTTCATGGAGAAGTGCCCTAAGGGTAAACCACCTACAGCAGGGTTTAAAAAAACACTCAAAGGAATCTGACAGAAGATGAGCCTCTTGGCCGGGCGCGGTGGCTTGTGCCTGTAATCCCAGCACTTTGGGAGGCTGAGGCGGGTGGATCACGAGGTCAAGATCAAGAGTTCGAGATCATCCTGGTCAACATGGAGAAACTCCGTCTTTACTAAAGTTACAAAAATTAGCTGGGAATGGTGGCGTACACCTGTAGTCCCAGCTACTCGGTAGGCTGAGGCAGGAGAATTGCTTGAACCCAGGAGGTGGAGGTTGCGGTGAGCCAAGATCATGCCATTGCACTCCAGCCTGGGCAACAAGAGCGAATCTCCATCTCAAAAAAAAAAAAAATAAATAAATAAATAAATAAAGAAGATGAGCATCTCTCTCTGGAGGAAAAATGTTCATTAAACTAGCAACCTCAGTATTCACCCCTCCTTCACCAGGATCTCATGGTGATGTTAGAAGCTGTCTACCAAGAGGCAGGAAAAGTGCACAGGGAAAGTGACACAGTGCATTATCTGCAGATATCTTGGTCTTCTCTGAATTTTTTTTGAGGGTGAGTTGCTCTGTCCCTCAGGCTGGGTTACAGTGGTGTAATCTCGTCTAGCATCAACTTATGCCTCTTGCGTTCAAGTGATTCTCCTGCCTCAGCCTCCTTAGTAGCTGGGATTACAGGCACATTCAACCATGCCCGGTTCATTTTTGTATTTTTAGCAGAGACAAGGTTTCATCATGTTAGCCAAGCTTATCTTGAACTCTCGACCTTAATTGATCTGTCCACCTCAGGCTCCCAAAGTGCTGGGATTACAGGCATGCACCCTCATATCTGGCAGAAGGATCAGGTTTTCTCATTTTATTTTTATTTTTTAGACAGTGTCTTACTCTGTCACCCAGGCTGGAGTACAATGGTGTGGTCTTGGCTCACTACAACCTCCACTTCCTGGTATTCTCTGGCCTCAGCCTCTCGAGTTGCTGGGACTACAGGCATATGCCACCACACCTGGCTAATTTTTGTATTTTTGGTAGAGATGGGGTTTTACTATGTGGGTCATGATGGCCTCAAACTCCTGACCTTTGGTGATCCTCCCACCTCGGCCTCCTAAAGTGCTGGGATTACAGGCGTGAGCCACCATGCCTGGCCATGGGTTTTCATAAACCAAAGCATATTTCTTATCGTGTTTAACGGAATTGTGCCCCAGCCCTGAACTTTCCTTGATTCATCCTCCTTTAAATAGCGAACTTCTCAAAAGGTGTAATGAACATGGAAGAGCCACTGGCTGGGTGGGCTGGGTGGTAGCAGGGGGGCTGGGGTCTCAGCAGTTGGCATCCCCTTTCCCAGGATGTACTCATGGCCTCATGTAGCTATTTTTTTTATCTCCTAGGTCAGCTTGTCGACACCGTCCGGGTTAAAAAAGGAGACCAGATCTTGTTTTCATCTATGTTCGAAGCCAATATCACCACCCACAACATTGCTGTCATTGTGTGCAAAAGCCTAGAAATACTTAGACCTGGTTTATTAACCATACACCTGCCAGACCCAACCCAGCCAAAACATGAAATCCGCCAGGTGCAGTGACCCAAATCTGTAATCCCAGCACTTTGGGAGGCCAAGGTGGGTGGATCTCCTGAGGTCAGGAGTTTGAGACCAGACTGGCTAACATAGTGAAACCCCACCTCTACTAAAAATATAAAAATGAGCTGGGTTTGCTGGTGCACGCCTGTAATCCCAGCTACTCGAGAGGCTGAGGTTGGGGAATCACTTCAATAGAGGAGATGGAGGTTGCAGTGAGCCAAGATTGAACCACTGTACTCCAGCCTGGGCAGAGCGCGAGACTCCATCTCAAAAAACCACAGTAACAACAACAAAAACACAAAATCAAACCCCCATCCTTTTTTTTTTTTTTTTTTTTTTTAGAGATAGAGAGGGATTTCCTGTGTTGTTCAGGTTACAGTGCAGTGGTACAAACATAGCTCACTGCAGCCTCTTACTCCCAGGCTCAAGCAGTCCTCCCACCTCAGCCTCCTGAGTAGCTGGGATTACAGGTGCATGCCACCATGCCCAGCTAATATTTATGTGTGTGTGTGTGTGTGTGTGTGTGTGTGTGTGTGTGTGTGGAGATGGGGTCTCACTATGTTGGCCAGGCTGGCCTCAAACTCTGGGCTTCAAGTGATCCTCCCATCTCCACCTTCCAAAGTGCTGGGATTACAGGCATGAGCCTCTGTTCCTGGCCAAAATCCACCAAAATCCAACTACACATTCATGAACGACCAAAGGCATGAGCTTCTGTGTTTTAACAATGAAATGGATTATTCCTTGGGTATAACTTTGCTGGGGATGCTGTACAAAGTGCCACAAACAAAGTAGCTTAGAACAAGACAAATTTGTTGTTTCAGGCCAGATGCCATGGCTCATGTATGTAATCCCGATAGGATGACACCCTGTCTCTACTGAAAAAAATACAAGGCCGGGAGTGGTGGCTCACACCTATAACACTAGCACTTTTAGAGGCTGAGGTAGGCAAATCATGAGGTCAGGACTTCAAGACCAGCATGACCAACATGGTGAAACCCTGTCTCTACCAAAACTACAAACATCAGCTGGGTGTGGTGGCACACATCTGTAATCCTAGCTACTCAGGAGGCTGAGGCAGGAGAACTGTTGAACCCAGAAGGTGAAGGTTGCAGTAAGCTGAAATCACACCACTTTATTCCAGACTGGGGGACAGATCAAGAATCTATCTCAGAAAAAAAATTAGCCAGGCATGGTTGCATGTGTCTGTGTTCCCAAGCTACTCAGGAGACTGAGGTGGAAGGATTTCTTGAGCCAGGGAGAATGAGGCTGCAGTGAGCTGAGATCATGCCACTGCACTCTAGCCTGGGTGGCAGAGCGAGACGCTGTCTCAATAAATTAATAAATAGAATAAAATGTTGTCTCCCAGTTGGGAGGCCGGAAGTGTAAAGTCAGGTGTCTGCAGCCGGGCTCTCCCTGGAAGCTCTAAGGAAAAATCTGTCCCAGCCTCTCTCCTGGCTCAGGCATCCCTTGACTTACAGTGGCCATTGTCCTTCTATGCATGTCTGTCTCTGTGTGCAAACTTACCTTTGGGCAGTCACGGTGGCTCACACCTATAATCCCAGCACTTTGGGAGGCCAAGGCAGGATTGCTTGAGCCCAGAAGTTCAAGTCCAACCTGGGAAACATAGTGAGATACCATCTCTACATAAAATACAGAAAATTAGCTGGGCATGGTGGAACACAACTGTAGTCTCAGCTACTCAGGAAGCGGAGGTGGGAGGATCAGTTGAACCCAGGAGTTTGAGGCTGCATTGAGCTATGATCACACCACTACACTCCAGCCTGGGTGAC